TGATCATGATCATCTGGTCGCGGGTCTGGGCCTTCAGGTGGTCCTGGTCCTCCACGGTCCCCTTCAGGATCATCTCTTGGTACTCTTCGAACAGTGACCTGCCGGTGGATCCACAAAACAATCACCTCCTCAATGTTCATCACATCGTTGCGGATCTTGAAAGCCTTGATGAAGGACGCATCCCTGGCATCTGGATCGTAGTTTGGAACTCGGTAGGACCTCAGCGCTAAGAACCTTCCCACTTGCAGCTCCTCGCCCTCCTCAGACTCCAAGTAGATCCTGGGATGTTCAGCCCAATCCCTTCCAAGATCTGCCACAATAGCCGCTGGGATCACTGAGTTCAGATCTCCATCAACTGGCTGAACCAATCGCCATCTTGTTGCCATCTCGAAGATGTAGTTGTTCACACCGTACCTAGCGCTCGTAGTTTCCCATTCTTCCTCAGACATCCTGATGTGCATCACAGACTCGGTCGTCTCCAGCTCCAGGTCCATTTCGACCTGCTCACCGCCCTCGCCTTGGATCATCTTGCACATCCTTGGTTCGTCCTCAACATTCAACGGAAGTGGGAAGCCCAAGTCCAGAGCCAGGTCCTCATCCACTTTCGAGATCTTGTCAAGTCCTCGGACCGTGTAGACCGCCAACACAACTCGCTCTCCTTCCCATGGCATTGTGGCGTGCCACTGTCGGGAATCGAAGGAAACTACATTCCTTTTCCCCTCCTCGGAAAACAAAGGAAGTACGCAGCCTCGCTTCCCATCGATCTCCACAATCTCACCTTCAGTCGCCTGCTCGGATGGCAGTAGCTGGGTCCACAAACCACCCCGCTTGAACTTGGTGATTGGGATCAAATGAGAATGCTGATCCCTCGCGTTGTGAGAGTCCCGATGCCTCTTCACATTGAGGTTCTGGTGTAGGGAGAAAGTCGACCAGGTCGTAGAGGTACCCAACTTTCTGCGAATGTACTGGTTGATCACCCTCGTCGAGTAAGGAAACTTCCTTGTAGAGTTCCTCAATCCCAGCACTCCACCATGTCGGAACGCTCCAGAGGCCCAGGCCTTGGGACTTCCTCCTCCACCATCTGGGTCCTGAATCTCCCTCGAGAACTTTTGGTTTGGTAGAAGATCAAACAACCGCTGAACGACCGCCTCATCAACATCCTCGTCCTCATACAAGATCTCCCTCGCGTAGTCCTCTGGGTCGAGAACTTCTCCATCATCACAAACAGCTCCTTCCGAACCTCCACCTTGATCCGCACCAAGAACTGCCACCCGAGGTTCACGCCGGGGATACACGCCATCTTCCTCGACAAACTCTTCTTCGAGGTCCGAGGTCTCTCCATTGTCACTTTCCAAATCATCGTCATAGATGGGTTCCCCGTCGCCAAACACTGCCATCCTTGGTGCTGACTTTCCAACAATTTTTCTTCGGGCAGGTGGCGGACTCCTCGCCTCCGGGCGCTCATGTTCTTCGCCTCCGACCAAGAGTTGTCCATCTCCTCGGTGGTCTCCGGTATCAATCAACTTTGACTTGTCCTTCACATTCTTGGTGTGAGTGAAGATGCCATCCACATAGACCAAGTGTCCATCATTCACCTGGTCTGAAAGGCCCAGGTACACACCTTCAGCCCAGCGCTCATCAAACTCCATCCGGATCAATGCTCCTGAAGCTGCATACCTCCGCTTCTTCACCAACACCTTAGCTCCAAACGCTGCAGCCATCCTTGGTACTTGTCGTAGAACATCGTGCCGGAGATCACGGAGCTACGAGTTGATGCGACAGCTGCCATTGCTGTGGCAAGCTCTGGTGGAAGCTGGAGAACTAGACATCTTCGACTACGTGAAAACTGGCTGGTTGAGTTGGTGGACTCCGAGGAGAACCATCTGAAGCACCAGCCGGGCGTGGATCAGCTGGCGGATGGGCTCACCAAGCAGCTCAGTTCCGAGCGTGCTTGGAAGCAGCTGGAAGCGTGGAGGTTCTTTAAGGGCCAGTCCACTGCGGGGATCAAGATGATCAAGTTTGAAGATGAAGAGGGTGGTTTGATTCCCAATTCAGCAGCTGCAAGCACAGCCGCAACAGCAGCAGCAAGCACAACTGCAGCCACCCAAGCCGCAAGCACAACTGCAGCCACCCAAGCCACGAGCACAACAGCAGACAACCAAGCCAGCATTACAACAGCAGTATTGAATGAAGGAACCCTGAGTAGGTGTACCCAGGTTTTAGTTGGGTTGGGGTTGCTGGCTGGCGTGACTGGCGAGGACGTGGGCGATAATCAGGCCTACACAGGATTGAATTCAGAACATGAGTTTTGGATCGCGGTTCTGTTGGTGATGGTTACCACTATTTGTGTTTGGGAATGGAGCAAGCGAGCTGCGGGTGGTGTGAAGAAGGCAGTTAAGATGAGGATGTTATCTGCAAGGCCGAGGGCGAGACTGTCAAAGGGTGAGGGCAAAGAGCTTTTGGCTTTGCTTGGGATCGATGATCGTTCTATCGAGCAAGAGGCCAGGCTGTCAGTGGTTGAGGACCGAGAGTCGTCAACGTCAGGCGATGGGGCGCGCGGGAGAACAACTACATCGTCTTCAACTTCCTCGAGGCCAACTGGGAAAAGTGTGGAGAGGTTCCAGCCTGAGAAGTGGAGCCGGGCAGTCCAAACAGATCCTGAGTACCCGCCGGACGTCCCAACCCAGGGGATACGGCCGTCTGCGGTTGATGCCAGGATCAGGTATATTGTGCAGCCTTGGGAAGGGGATATGTACGTGAGCCCCAGCGGTGATCGAGTTCATCTGAAACCGGACTGCCATGGACTACGGAACGCCTCGAGGGCTTTGAGAAGGCCAGTATGCCAATACTGCTTGAATGACTGGCGCAATCACCCAGACAATTTGGGCGATCGATGAGCCAGAAGTCTTCAGGCAACGATGGAATGATGTCTCTCTTTCGAGAGTATCAAGGAGGGGTGCTGATGCCTGAAGCCCTCTCCCTTGTAGAGTCCAGCGAGTGGAGCTCGTTGTGTTCAGGAAACTTGTTTTGGCCGAGCGGATGGCTCAAGGAGCCATGATCGGCAGAAGCCAGTCGTGATGTGGCAGTGTAGCCATGATCGACAGAAGCCAGCATGTATGCAGAAGCTAGGACTTGCCTTAAGCTGTGCACAGAAGTGCTTAAGGACTGCGTACTTTCGGTGTTGCGTCGGAAAACGTAGAGAGGGCTTTGCGCTGTGCTTCATGGTGTTTCGGAGTCCCTTGGGGATCATCCGATAACTTTGGAACGATACTGAGAAGAACGCGAGGCCGTATGTTGTCTTCAGCTGACGAGCCTGGGGGTAACCCAGCTCTTCAACTAGTACTACTACTACTGCTGCTACAGCTACTGCTACTGCTACTGCTCATACTACTCTTACTCTTACTCTTACTCCTACTCTTTGATTTGGCATGTCACACGACGGGTTGCTTCACTGGATTCTCAGTCTCATGCTACATGTTTCGTGTGACAGGCGGCTTGTTAGCCAGTGTTACTTTCTACTCTTTCCTGCCTAAGAGCCTTATCACAATGTATCTTAAGCATCATCACCCCCACCCCTCGCATCCGCAAGAAGCGGCAAAAACAAGGCACTACTACCACTACTACTACTACCACCACCACTACTACTACTACTACTACTGCTACTACTACTACTGCTACTACTATTACTACTACTACTACTACTACTACTACTACTACTACTACTACTACTACTACTACCACTTCTACTACTACTACTACTACTACTACTACTACTACTACTACTACTACTACTACTAATGCTACTACTACGAATACTACGACTACTATGACTGCTGCTACTCCACCACCACCACCACCACCACCACCACCACCACCACCACTACTACTACTACTACTACTACTACTACTATTACTACTACTACTACTACTACTACTGCTACTACTACTACTACTGCTACTACTTACTATAGTACTACCACTAGTGGTATGACTACTACTACTACTACTGCTACTACTACTATTACTACTAGTACTACCACTACTGCTACCACTACCATTACCACTACCACGACCACGGCCACGACCGGTACCACTATACCACTAGCACTAGCACTAGCACTAGTACTGCTGCTACTACTACTGCTACGACGACGACGGCGACGACGACGACTACTACTACTATTGCTACTGCTACTGCTACTACTACAGCTACTACTACCGCTGCTACTACTACTACTACTACTACTACTACCACTACCACTGCCAACAACAACAACAGCAGCAACAACAACAACGTCAACGACTACTACTACTACTACTACTACTGCTCCTCCTCCTCCTCCTCCTCCTCCTACTACTACTACTACTACTACTACTACTGCTACTGCTACTGCTACTGCTACTGCTACTGCTACTGCTACTGCTACTGCTACTGCTACTGCTACTGCTACTGCTACTGCTACTGCTACTGCTACTGCTACTGCTACTGCTACTGCTACTGCTACTGCTACTGCTACTACTGCTGCTACTACTACTACTGCTACTACTACCACCATTGGTATTGTCATTTTCCTACTTCTGCTACTGCTACTGGATCTGCTGGTGCAACTGCTACTGCTCCCGCTTCTGCTACTGCTACTGCTAAGGCTACTGCTAGCGCTACTGCTACTGCGACGAGTACTATCAGGTAAACTACTGCTGCTGCTGCTACTACTTCTACGACTGCTGCTACTACTACTACTACTGCTACTACTACGCTTCTGCTGGTGCCCCAGGCATCATTCATCATACCGCCACCGCCCCCGCCCCCCACCACCACCACCACCACCACCACCACCACCACCACCACCACCACCACCACCACCACAAACACCACCACCACGTTCTTCCGCTTTTACTTGTCCTACTCCTACCGACGTGCACTCTTACTTCTACGGGCCAGTTCCACTGCCACTGCCAGAGCGCCTTTGCTGCTCTGCTACTGCTGCTCCCGCGACCAGGCTGTGGTCCTCCAACGGTGTGCACCGTACATGATCGTGATCTGTCTATCCTCCTTCGTTTGCTGCTTTGTGGCCCTCATGGTGATGCCTGACTCTATGCTGCAACTAGCACGGAATGCTCTGCACCAGAACAACAGCCCGTAAAGACTCCAGAAGCCTAGTTCCACATCCCGAGCCCTGTTAAAACCCCGCCAATTTTGCGCCCTGAAAGCCGAAGGCCTCAAGCTGGCCCATCCGTTCTCACGGTCTCAGCTATCTACCAGCTTTGAACGACGCACCAACTTCCCAACAATCAACAATCGGAATGAACAGATCCACACTCCTATATCCGCACAGATCGACTTTTCATCCATGACTTACAGACGCCTCTGCGCAACCACAACCAAGTCCTAAGTCAAAAAGACACTGCAGGTATTCCAACACCGATGTGCTGTGTTGATGGCACTTACCGCTACCGAAAGAGCATTGAGACTCGAGACAGTGAAATCACCTCTCAGGAATGTTGGCGCTTGGTCATTGAGCTCGACTACTTGGCGATGAGTTCTAACGTAATCGGAGCCATCTTCTTGTACCGGCATTTTTTGCCAGGCTATCATGCTGATGTTCGCACGAAGCCCTAACCGGATTGAACTCCCACCTCAGGCCAAAATGTTTAGGATTGCTTTAGCATTCGGCTTTCCTTTCAATGAATTATCCCCTCCTTACTATTGGTCACGGCGTACCAGAGTGAAGATACCAGATGAGGGAAATCAGGTATTGTAACGTTGAAAGTCTACCATGGACGTCCGTTGTTTACGCTGAACTCCCACCCCAGGGGTTTTGAGTCGAGTCTGGGGTCAAGCCAGAAGGTGTGGATGCTACAGCAATGCGTCAAGCAGACCGTAGTGGGACTGGTGCTAGTCGTACGACCATGCAGCATGTAGCGGCAATGTTTCGGTAGCGAATCTGTGATCTTAGAACAAAGTGTTTTGGGAGTCTTATACAGGTGCAAAGGTCAAGGTTTGAGACGTTCGACTTAGGGTGTTGGATGGAAAATAGCCTGTTGCCAAGAGTCTGGAAGTCGTGTATTTTCTGAACCTACAGCTCAAATGCCTCATAACCTACATATAGATTTCGAGTTTCCCAGCTCACAATCTAAACTCTGAATCACGAAGTCAACCCCACATCAGCCACTGAAACGGTGTACCTCAAACCAGATTCTGAGGCTATCAGCATTGCATGCCATTAGGATTCAGACATATTGAGTTCAAAGCATCCCGAGCAGGTTTCGAAGTTTGGGAGTTTGTGTCTTTGGGATCCCGGAGGCGCCAGAAATCTGAAACTGCGTGATTGGCAGCTGGCCGGGGCGTTTTACTTACCCTGGGTCTGTGTCACCTTCTTGCAGATCACATTCTTTTCCTGTGGTGACGAGGCGCGATGAGGGGACACATATTAATTAAGACTAACAGCAATTTAAGCCTATGCGCGATGGCCTCTACGTGTGAAGCGGTGCTCATGATAAGACACTGAATGTGAATCCCTGACCCAGGCGCGGGACGGCTACTACTCCACTCGCCTGGTCTACTTCTGTTACCGGGCGCTGCTGTCCGTGGCTCTGATGTGTCCCCTCCAGCCGCTGGGTTTTTTTTTGAGCCCAGGGCCCAGGTTTTGGCCGGGTGTGGTTCAGGGTTTGAACGAATCCCAGCGGGGCCTTGAGCAGATCGTCTTCTCCTGCGTTTTTAGGGTTCAACTTTCGACTGAAAACTAAATCTGTATAGACTTTGAACCAGCAGCATCGCACCGTCGCTTCAGGTGTACACTAGCGGAGCTCATCTGCTCTGGAATGGTTGCGGCTGATGTCCAGAGGTCCGAAGCACGAGCAGCTATGATGCTGGATTTGGTTGGAATAGCATTTTGCTGATTTGGGAAGATTTTGGGTTGTACAGAAGCATGTGTGCTTGGTAATTCCCCTCCTTGCCCCGAAGCCTTGCTCAAAGTCCCGAAACACGTCATGATGATCACGCAACAACACCGAATAAGTCAACAGTGCTAGGAGTTGTTCTGTAGATGCCAAAATCCCAAAGACTCATACGCATGCAACCCGTGTGCGATGGAGGGATGGAGAACTCAGAATGCAGGCGCCTAGGTGATTGGTTCGGTGTTCGAAAGAGTTGTTTCTCACCCGAAACCTCACCAAAACGCTGAGCTTCAAAGCTCAAAGTCTAGTATATATCTACACTTTTCTCTTTCACTCAGCCCTCAATCCGAGCAATATCCAGGATGTCCATAGAGCTTCTTTTTCTGCTTCTCATCTTCGCCGGGACATGCTTCCTCGGCCAGTGGATGAATCTTGCATTTTGGGTACAGGATCAGGGTTGGTCACGGGCGGTGGAGTGTTTGTAGTTTTAGTTCAGCTCTCTTCAAGTTTTTCGGGCTCGCTGGGCCGCGATATTGAGTCCGAAACGACGTCCTGCACCTCCCGCAACCCAAGGGCCCAACATCCCAAACCTGAAGACCAAACTTGGCACTCCCACCAAACCGGAAACCCCGCAGCGATTCAAACGTAAGCCCTGAGCCTCCATGGAAGCCTCCAGACTCCAGACAAGATTTCGTTTAAGGTTGGACGGTTTCATGTCATGTCTACCATGGTAGCTGTGGTGCGGGCTTTTTCACCTTTTAGTTCCTGTTCAGAGTGTTCCTCGTCAGCCTAGAAGCTGAGGATTGATTGGGCTTTCGCCAATGCTCGCAAGGCGGAAGAGGCTCTCTCTGCGCACTTCGGCACGGAACTTAACCCCCAAACCCGAATCAACGAACTTGAAACCTCAGACGCCTTAGACTGTACGCAAACTGAAGCCTGCCCCAATCCCTTCAAACTGTTCATAAATCGGTTGTGCTGTACTTCGTTTTGAAGTTTCAGAGGGCTTTGGAGATGTCGAGAAACAGTCTTGGTTCCACCATCCGACTCCGTAAGTCCTACAAAGTCATCTGATTTGCAAAGGCTTCGGTGTACCCTCCAGAATTCGGAAGCTTTGGCGGCTATGTACAGACAGTCCCAGACTTGTACGACTCATTTCTGAAACTTGCAGCGCCGTAAGCTCTTTTGAGCTGCAGCCGTAAACCCGGGGACTACAAGTAGATCTAAGTAGATGCCTGAAAGATACCCAAGCGTGCGACCCCAATGCATGAGGGAAGAGACCAGGCTCGTGGATGCCAGACTCGGGCTCATTGAAAAGCTGTGTGATGCCGAGGAGTCAAGCGTTGGAAACACAAGAGGATGTTTAAGTTTTCGGTTTAGCATTAGGATCCAGGGTTTGGGTTAGCATACCGAAAAGATGAACACAAGGTGAACTCGTCTCCCAGGGGTTTACATCGAAGGATTTCCATAGCTTTTTGTTGATTGAGCAGTTTAGGAGCCTTGCTTTTCGCCAAAAGCTCGCTTGTTCCTAGGGTGTGCTGTCTTAGTTTCATTGCCGTGTCTTATACAGCCTTAGGTTGTTAGTTTAACTGGGTTGCTTTGTGCAGCTTCCGTGTGTCCTTTTTGCAGCTCCCGACAGCTCGCCGGTGGCTTTGTAGAAGCTCTTCTGCAGCTTAGTTTGCATTGGTCTGAGCCTCCCTTGAACGCTTGGACGTCTCAGCCGGACCGCTTGAACTTCTGTCTTTGGCTTCGGATGCTTTTGAGCGTTGTTTCTGTCAAAGCCACTCAGCTGAGGCAGCAGGGTCTCGTGGTCTACTAAGTCTACTGTCGTAGCCTCAAGTAGCATGCGGGGCTCAGACATCAGACTTCTTCATTATAATAGCTTGTGATTTTGCCTAATTTCTTTACTTGCTTCCACAGAGCCAAGCATGAAGCCTCGAGCCCCAAAGCTCGAAGCGCCTCAAGGCCCCTGCCCCTCCAAGCCGGCAGGTTGAACTCTCCGGGGATTTGAAAATGCTGGAAGCCAGTCCGTCCTGGGGCGCGAGGATAGGTATCCATCTCGCCAGCTTTGAGGTCAGCCCAGACTTTGTTTAGCGTTGTGGTTGTTGTTGCGGGTCTTTATCGTGCTTGTTGAGGTCTTTAGGCAACGGGCACAGCTTAAGTCTTCAATTCCAGCCCGAACCGAAACCCGAAAGCTTCTCGCCTGCATGCTTGATCTGAACTTGTTGGCGATCAGCCCATGCGATACAAATGCCAGAAGGCCATAGCAGTTCCTGTTTGAAGGTTTGGGGCACCTAAATTTAAAGGCCTGAAACCCCAAAAACCAGCTGAAGCCCTCCGTCCAGGGCAGCTTCCTAGACGTGATCGATGAGGACGATGCCGAGCGTGTTCTGACATTCTTGCAGTCTGCGAGAAGTGAGGGTTCCATGGCTGCGAAAATGGAGGGCTACGCTCAGTGCGCAAGTGCTGATGCCCTATAAATTGAAGGCCTCAAGTACTCGACATAAGCATTACAAAATCTCAAACCGTGTGGCCTCTTTGCGTCATTGAGCTCTTGAGCTTCCAGTTCTCTTCAGTTCAATCGTGAATCCACTTGTTTCAATGTGGTGGCGTGCTGATAAGTTTAGCCGATGTTTGCAGTGGTTCGAAACGCAGGATCTGGGATGTTCTCGCAATACCAGCAACCGCCATAATCTTCTAACGCTGAGCTTTGCACTCCCGCCCTGCGCCCCCCCCTGCTCCGATGGCCCAGGTGCCAGTAGTTGCCTCCATGCGAGCTTGCGGACATTTGCCGACGACCGCGTCGACGCACGCCTGTACCATGCGGCCCAATCAGGCCGCTCCAGTGCCTGCCAGCATCGACTGGCCGTGATCTTTTTGCCCCCCGGCTGGCCTTAGCAACGACAACGACAAGAAGAACAGGAATCAGATTGACGACGTAATACCAATCATGTGCATGGTGATCATACTCTGCACCAATTGTAGTAGATCCATTACTAGCGCTAGTAGTAGCAGTAGCGGTAGCAGTAGCACGAACAGTCGCGGTCGCGGGCGCAGTCGCAGTAGCAGTAATACTGGTAGTTGTAGTAGCAGTGGTAGCACCACCACTACTACCACTACTACTACTACTACTACTACTACTACCACTACTACTACCACTACTACTACTACTACTACTACTACTACTACTACTACTACTACTACTACTACTACTACTACTGCTACCACTACAACTACTTTCACCACCACTACCACTACTACTACTACCACTACCACTACTACTACTACTACTACTACTACTACTACTACTACTACTACTACTACTACTACTACTACTTCTACTACTACTGCCACTAGCAATACCACCGACGACAACCCCACACTACCTCATTGCCTCATTCCTTTCGCCACGAAGGGGCAACACCGAACCTCCCGTGGGCACCATTGTTGCCAAGCCGCCCTCCGAGGTCAGTTGAGGGCTCAAACTGACAAAACAGGGCTCACAGTGCGCGTTTTGAAGAGTTGAGAGCCTGGGGCTTCTGTGGTTCAGGGTTTGCTTTTTAGGATTTGTTGGCCTTCGAAGTGGGTTGAGGGGTTTGGGCCGGCTTCGCGTTTGTAGAGTTTTGGGCTTAGGGCCAGTGCAGGGTTTGTAGAAGGCCGGTTCGCTGCTTCACTTCTGCTTCAGGAACCGGGGTTCTAGGCAATGGGATTCAGTGAGTAGTTTTGCACTTTGGATCTTGTCGTTTCCGCATGCAGGATTTTCATCAAGGGCTCAGAGTTCAAATACGTAATTCTTCTTTCCCTAAACCCCGTCGGCGCATTCGTGGTCCTTGAGCGCTCCCTAGCTCCTAAAGAGCCCAAATCAAAACCCTCGAATGCGCTCCCGTTTAAGAAACAACTTCCACACCCTGAAGCTACGAAATGCTCGATCTCCCCTCTATATGCTTGCATCCCAATTCCATGAGGCCTGAACCTCTTCAGGCCTGATAGGACAAGAGCTTAGCCAGGCCAAGCACGTTAACCCATTTGATCATCCATTTGTGCATCCGTGTTACATCCGTGGAGCCAGAAACCTTGTATCTTGAGCTTCTCTGAATCATCTCTCAACACCCAAACTTTCCTGGCCTGAAGCCGCCCAGATCGCAATCCTAAACCCCCGAACTCTTCGCCCAAGATACCCGCCCGAAGGTGTCCGAAGACTTTTCCAGTGACTGCGAGCGCCTGTTCCGTCCACTTGTTTCTGCTGACGCTCAGATGAGCTGTTTACGTGTAGCACAAGGGTGGCGAACGGCAAGACTTAGCAGCAGCATCATTTTTCTTGTCCCTGTGTCAGTATCGCAGAATTATGTACCCCCCGCCACCACAACCAACAACGCCAGCTCGGGGTCTGGATATGAAGCACCCTCTCGCTCGTCTGGTCATCGAGCTTGGCGGAACTTGCAGGGTCTTCGGCCTCCTAGTCTAAATCGCGATCGGTTGTTGTTTTGGTGTTTGAGGGTCCTGTCCTTGGGGTTGTTTTAGGGGTCTGGGCTTTCTCTATTCTTGCATCTACAGATTTCACATTAGGGAGGAGCCCGTCTCGGTGCGCAGCGACTAGTAGTGTGTAGTAATACCACCCCGGCTACACCACGACTCCTACCATTTGACTACCCACGACCCCCACCCGACCCAGTACTACTACTACTACTACTACTACTTACTACTACTACTACTACTACTACTGAGAAGCGCTACCAGCTCAAGCGGCCGCGAAATGTAGCCGTCGAATCTCCACAGGACAGCTTGTGGAGGGCCCAACCATTAGAGATCCCAACAGATCCTGGTCCTCCAACCATTTTCCATTCTCTTAGATCAGGTTGCGCATGGGAGTGCTGTCAGATTTGTATTGAGGCTCACGGAGTCATGAGTCATGTCTCGCACTCGGTGATAATACAGGAACGCGAATTTGCAGGCGTTATACAGGAGCTGGAACGGTCCCAATTCCGGGGGGAGATATTCACTTGCTAAGGAAACTTGCTCTGCTCCTGTTCGTGAGGGTTCCCGTCTTACCGCACGGCGGGGGAGTCCGAACTGCTTGCAGTTTGGGCGAAAAGCGCGGATGGCACAGGGCCTATCATGTTTCACTCCATGTTCATGAATGGCACAGTTCGCAGAGCAGACCTTTGGTTTCTTCAATATGCCGGTTTTACAAAGACACGTTTTGAGCATGTCTATAGATGCTCTCCGCCGAGATGCAGCCCCACGATGCCAAGTGACTGGAAAAGGCTCATGAGTCCCTGTTGCGCAAGCGGCGGATTCTTGTAATGCCTCCAAGTCTTGCCTCTGGTCTTCGGAAGCTGAAATCGGATGGCACTGGCCGATGCTTGTATTTGGTTCGGTATTGTTCACAGACTCCACGGAAAAAATGTTTTTTTGTATTACCAACTTGGGATGGTCGCAGATTCTTGCCAAGATCAACGAATGGGAAGTTTGTCTGCTTCTACCTGAAAGCCAGTGTCTACAGTGGTCCCACCTTGCTAGGTCTCCGGGTCAAGCAGCGTACTTCGACGTCCAATTAACAACAACAACTCAACGACAGCACAACTTCTCTTTCTACGCAGCAAGTATTTGTACGTGCGCGAAAACGACGACAACAACAACAACAACACCAACATCAACACCAGTTGACACCGGCTTCTACGGCAGCAGCAGCAGCAGCAGCAGCAACAGCAACAGCAACCGCAATAGCAGAAGCAACAGCAACAACAACAACAACAGCAGCTGCAACGGCAAAAGCAACACCAATAACAATAACAACCGCAGACAAACAATAACAACAAGAGCAACAGCAGCAACAGGAGTAACAATAACAACGACAAAAACCGACAACAAGAGCAGCAACATCAACAATAGTAACAGCCCCACCAGTACTAACTACAAGAGCAAGAACAGTAATAATAACAACAGCAAGACCAACATCAATAACAACATCATCATCAACCACAACACCAACACCAACATCCACAACACCATTAACAACAACGGCCACAACAACAACAACAGTAACATCAACAACAGCAACACCAACAACAACCCCACCTACAACAACGACACAGCAACAACATAAATAATCAGAGCCGAAGCGATGACAACAACAACAGCAGCCTCGACAATAACGGTAACCACAGCAACAACATCAACGACAACACCAACAACAGCGACAGTAGTAGCAGCACCAGTACCAGCAAAAAAACAACCCCAACCACAACTGCAACCATAACAACAACAACAACAACAACAGACAATAACAGGTCTAGCAACAGCATCAGCAGCAGCAACGACCGAACATGTCAGAATATAGCGTATCACAGCGCGTGATCAGAAAGCTTGGCGCAGCATATTGCAGCGCGGCGTAGGATGCCTAGCAAAGCATAGCATATCTCAGCGCAGCCCAGCATCTCTTATGAGATCGCAACAACATATACAGTAACATGGCAGGGAGTAACACAATTGAACGTATCATAACATGACAACGTTGGACAACCTAATAGCATAACAGCTCAGCGACCCACTCAGAGCAACAGCAGTAAGAGCGAAGCAAGCTCGCTAAGGATGATGTCAAGTAGCAAGAACTGTAGCAGTAGCAGTGGCAATAGCAATTGTAGTGTAGCACACACTTGTTGTGCGAAGTGACAACATATTATCTCACTTGATCACCGAATCGGTCAGGGGATATACTCACCGATTCAATTCGAATGATTGTACACTCCGTGGCCATTTTGGCTCAAGCTGTTCCAGCTTGAGAAATTTTGTTTCAGTCCCCTCGGATCACTCCTCGGTCATAGCCGCTCCGGGCGGCCAGTACTCCGAGTCCTACTACGACCGCTGCTGGCGGCCAGTACTTCGAGCACTACGGCTTCTCTGTCAGTTGTAGACAGTTTGAAGGAATCGCTCGAGGAATTCAGCCGCGAGCAAGTTCTCGAAGATTTTCAAGTCGAAAAACCCGAGGATGTGACGTGGGGAGCTTGGAACAAGCGACAATCACGACAAATACGAAAGGCCATCGACCAAATCGCCCAGTGTCAGACGGCGAACGACATTGTCAATTTGGCGGCGACCTTGTTGAAGCCGCCCAACCTCGAGGCCTTCTTGTACCTGCACATTACCAACCGCGGCGAGTCTGCGGAGCCGTTGACGGTGCCGTTCGAGATCGTCGAGGCTTCCCTACACCCTGACTCCGATCATGCACCCCTTCCAGTGGACACCGATGCTGCTCTTCTTGTGCACGAGACCGATCTGCATAATCAGCATTTGGCAGACATTTTTCGTGATGATTTCGGCATTGAACTTCATAATTCCGTACCCGCTGCCTCTACAGCTCGAAAGAGAAACTTCGAAGGGCGCCTCAAGCCCTCTAACACGACATCTATCGATTTGGATTAGCAACTTCGAAGCCATGGCAGTTCCTCGATCTGACTCTTGGTTCGACTTTCTTTGCGAGGGCTCGACGCAGAATATCACTGCACCTGTGCCGAGTTCCATGCTCGATGAGTTCCCCGAACGAGTACACGACGAAGCCCGGGTACCTTTGTCTGCGATCAAACGACAGATTTGCCCCCGAATCCTCGATACCAAGAACTGCAACATGCACAACTGTGTGTACCTACACCCCGATTTCCTGAACAAGAAATGGGTGGTGCCCAATCTAATCTGCCATAAATGGTTCCAGGGATGCTGCGAGTACCACAACACATGTTGGAACCAACACGGACATACCTTCGATGATGCCATGCGCCGAGCTGTCGTACTGCAACGACAACTCCGACGCGGCGAGCCTCCGTACCACTACTCATCCCGAGGTGCTTTCCTCGAGCAGGTGACCCGAGGACAGGCGAGAGAGTGGATCATGGACACGATGGCCACCTTTCGCCACACCGAGATGCGCAAATTCAACTTCGGTACCAACTTCTCCAAGTACTACGACTTCGAGGCATGGGACAAGTCGGACGCTGCAGCCAGACTCCGACAAGAAATTGCAGAGGGCAATCATCGAGGACGATCTCCTCGACGAGCCCGCGGTGATTCTCGACCCCCAGCAACATGGGGACAACCACCGACTCCACCGCGAGGGAACATCTTTCCCACCTCGGGATCTCGATTCCCTCCGGCAGCTACACCGTCGGCGGCTCCTTTGAACCCGACACCATCGGTGGCACCTTCGACAGCACCTACGAGCACCACACCACGACGACCATTCTTCCAGCTGGGCACGGACACGGACTCCGATGCCCCTAACTTTGGTCGATCTACCCCGGCGATGGAGCAGCTCGAGGTTCACAACGACCATTGTCACCGGCGAGATTCCCTCGACGATCGCCATCACCTGCCAAGAGATGGCTCGACAACACACCGATAATCGTCGAGGTCCCAGATGAGATTGCCGCCTCTACTCCGGCTCCAACTCCGACGGCCCCACCTACTAACACTGCACAACGGACTCGACCGGTGTCTCCGGATCCTTGGCACGAGGATGATGATACCACGGAACCGCCGACTCCCCCGATGGCAGCTCCGGCGACACCTCCGACCGCGACGCCTATGAGTACTCAGGTGACACAGCCGACGGACCAAGCCACAGCTACGGCGACTAACAACCCGAGTGACTCCGAGTGGATCAACCCGGCCTTCGGTACACCGACTACCACGACCATTGTGGGGGCGAAGACGAAGGCCATGCCCAAAGTGGTCCCGCCGAGGTTCACGGTTCACCCGGCAGTGGACCTCTCAATCAGACCCGAGACAGGTCCTTACACCGAACACGACCCAGTCTGGAGCAGCCTCCTCCTCGACGGTCGCGACATCAATGCGGAGTCCATACACACGTGTGCCAATCGCGGTGCAGCCCCAGCCACCACGACAGTCCTGCCTCGAAAGATTCCGAGTACAGTGGCTCGACACACAGGTTGTGGACAAGGGCAGGACGTCGATCGACGATGTTCGCTCCAATCCACCGGTCTCACACGAGCCCGTGTTCGGATTCCAGACTTTGAGACACTTCGACAACTTCCCGATGCTGTCCCCGAACTTACAGGCGATGACACCGGTGGGCGGACACAATGTCGCGATGCTTCCTCCGGGCAACCACCCGTACTCTTCCTTTTCCTTCGATTCCCCATGGGAAATCACATATGACGGCGTCATTTACCTCGAACAGGTTCTCCGATGCCCGACCTTCGGGAGCTACCTGACACAGTTCGGGCTGTACATCGACCTCCCGATCCACACCCCGCAGGACGACACTCTTCAGGAGAGGGTCTTGCTCCTGGGTGTCCCGAATAACTTCGTCGAGCCCCGAACTACACTGATCTACTCGATGGTATGGCACAGCATGACGGCGTCCCTCTCCGATCTGAGTCATACATCGGTGGAGGACCGCATGAACAGACTTCGAATGTGGTGCCATACAGCCCACAACCTCAACCTCTTCGCGACACAGATGCCATACTTCGAGCCGATGACGACCTTCTTTCGGGAACAAGCAT